TAGGTGCCATTGAGTTGGTACCAACTCCTAGTGACCATATACACAACAGAACGAAACATGGCCCGGTCCTGGGCCAACCTCACAGTTGTTGCTACGCCTAAGCCCATTGCTGCTGCCATTGTGTGCCAATCCATCTCATTGGGGGTCATTGTCTTTTCTCCGACCCTCCACTTTACCAAACCTGATACTCTTCTCCAGGGTCTGGTCCCTCCTGACAATATGTCCAAAGTATGAAAGATGAAGTCTAGCCATCGTGGCTTCCAAGGAGCACTCTGGCTGTACTTCTTCTAACACAGACCTGGTTGGTTTTTTTTGGCAGTCCATGGTACTTTCAGTATTCTCTTCCAACACCATAACTCAAATGCATCAATTCTTCTAAGGTTTCCTTATTCACTGTCCAACTTTTGCATGCATATGAGGTTATTGAAAATAGCATGGCTTGGGTCAGGCGACATCTTTGCTCTTCAACACTTTAAAGAGATCTTGTGCAGCAGATTTGCCCATTGCAATACGTCATTTAATTTCTTGACTGCTGCTTCCATGAGTGTTGATGGTTGATCCGAGCAATATGAAGTCTCTGACAACTTCAATCATTTCTCCATTGATACAGATGTTATTTGTTGGTTCAGTGGTGAGGATTTTAGTTTTCTTTTTTACAAAATAGACATATAAAATTTAATTCCTTTGATTTAAAATACATCTTCACTGATACAATTAAAAATAATACACAAGACAAAATCAATTTCATAAAACAAAATATAAAATGTTGTTATATGACCCATGTCCCATGATGTATTAGAAAACCAGCAATTTAGTTCACATACTTCATTAGAATATTTTAACATAAGCATATAACTATCAGTCCTACATATAGAAATGACCTACTCTAGTTCCCTGAACCTAAAGATTCTGTGATTTTATTTTATTTTAATATGTTTAAACATGTGTACAAAATGTTCCCCTGCCATAGTAATATACTCTCCTAAATTCATGAATGTGCCCTAGAATTGTTAACATGTAAATAATCAAAATATAAAGGCTCTGAAACATTATATAAAATAAAAATCGTACAACAGGAAGATTAGGAAGAACTCAGTTTTGAGTTGTATCCCTTGGTATACATTAATTACAATATGTTTATTGTGTTTGTTCACTCTATAGCAGTATATCTGACTGATACAAATGTATCAATTACAGCAGTAGTGTTTTTCCTTTACTTCATATGGTAAACAGAACAGAAATCCAAATACTAACATTCTCAATATCAAACAGGTCCTCTGTCATTTGAGAAGGTTTTGATATACAATGGAGTGAATAATTGTACTTGGGAAAACAGGGAAAAAGCACTCTAGTGGGTTCCACTATGTCGGGGTCTGACCTCGACATAGTTGTGTTGTTCACGAGTGTTTGGTTCACGAGGAGGGGAGATCCAGCAGCGATAGGGATAGCGAAAGAATACACAGACAAACAGAGGAAGGGAGACAATGAGGCACCCCAAAGCCAGGGTGGATACATCACTCACTGGTGGGCAGGCTTGGGACTACAGGCATTATGGCCTCTGCAGGCAGCAACTCACTGCCCTGCAATCTTTACTGCATGCCTACCAACCCGTAATGCACTGCAATTGTTACTCCATGCCTTCTAACCAGTAATGCACACCTGGGGAGGCTTGGGCCTCTGCTTTATTCAGGGGAGGAGCTTCACACCAAGCGGGGAGGGATCTTTACAGAAGAAGAATGGTATTATTCAGATAAGATAATCTTTAAGATAAATTAAGCCAGTAAACCTTACTTAAACCAATATTCCTTTCTTCCTTACTGGGTTTAACCTTCACTTGGATCAAACTGATTGAACCCAGGGTGGTCCGAGGGCGTTGTCCCCATTGTCCTTAATCCAGTATTCCCAGAATTTACCACTCCACCCCAAGTGAATATACCCCGGGCAGTTCCTCTCCAGAGCCTCCCTGCTTAATCCCAGTAAACCTGTCCTTGTTCGTCCTCTGAGGAAGTTTTACTGCCTTGGTTCTAGGGGGAAAATCTTGACCTTAGAAACTTAGGGGAATATTGCATTTCTCTGTGGACATCCAGGGCTCATGTTTGGAATTAAATAAATATGACTAAACAATTTGATGAAAAACAATTTGCTCTTAACTGCCAAGTGGCTTCATTTGTTACACTCGGGCCTATAGGGCCTTGAACCTCTGACCAGTCTTACACGGTCCGCAACACCACTAGACACAATATGCTATCTGTATGGTATACATTTTCAAACATAACTTAGCCTTCAGTTGAGGGAAAGTGTTTAAGGTAGGTCTTATTGCGTATTTTTGTCATATGTACACAGACACCATATTTATATATTGTATATTTATATGACATATATGTACACATTTACAGACAGATCTTCAAAAATATATACTCTTATATATACAGTGATACAAAGAGGAAGACCCCCAACGAGATGGATCGGCCAGGTGGCATCATTGATGTCGTCAAGTGTGGCGGCGGTAGTGAGGTTGGCCCAGGATCGGACATTGTTTCTTTCTGCTGTGCATGGGGTCACTATGAGTCGGTTCCGACTCGATGGCACCTGACAACAACATATACAATGCAGCTTTATCTTAACTGATTTCATACTGTCACTCATTTAAGTTCTTCATAAGAAAGGCAGTTGATATGTCCAAGAAAGTTGCAAAGGGAAGCTTTCTGCAATATGCCATATTTTAGTAAACATTTATTGGAGGATGAAAAGCTAAGGGAGAAAAGGGCACATCCCTTTATTCTTGAGATGCAACTCCCACTAACCTGAGGCAGACTTAAAGCACAAAATCCTAAACACCAAGCCTATTGCTTTTTTCTGACTACCATTAGTGAGCAGGTACACAGATCTTAAAAGAGACACAGACTCTTTTTCTCGGAGTCTATTAAATCTTGAAACAAAGTTTTCTTTTAAATATCTATATTAAAAATCTCAAACATAATGATATATGGATTTCTCTGTTATCTGAAAAATGCCAATGTAATATATTAAATGCCAGATGCCATACCATCTCCAACTCAAAAGGAGTCCCTTCCATTGACAGCCACCTGTTTGGAAGGTGGCTGAGTGGTATACCTGTAGCTTGCCAAACAATGAGATTTAGGGAACACCTTCAGTTAAATCCATTATGAGTGGTGGAACAGGTCAGCCTTTAGATCTCAGTGAGGGTGAGTTTGTATGATCCTCCTGCTTCTTCAGTCTGCAATCAGAAGGTATCTTCATTGGAATAATGTTTCACGATGTTGTCATCCATGTTCACAGGTATCCCCTTTTTGCATTTCTTGAATATCTTCCCAATCTTGTCATGGGGGACATCACACTTGTCTGAGTTGCTTCCATTAAGCCTTTCAAAGATGGCGTCTTGAGCATCAGGGCATCAGACTTCTTCTGACTCCTTTTGAACATAGAGCAGCATTCTTTTTTGGTTCTTCTAATTGGGTCAGTTTAGCAGAAGGTGGAGTAGCAAAATCACCCTCTGCTCTGTATGGCTTCCTCTTCAAGTTAGATCCTTCACCTTCCAACTCTTCTGAGACAATGGGAAGAACATGAGTGCCCCGGTGAAGGTTAGCAGAATACACATCAGGAATGAAGAGGACAGGCTGAGTATCAAGATCAATAGAGGGTTTGAAAACCGTGATACCCATTTGTTGTGAGAGGGAAGAAGTGCCACTTTAACATCAGAATCAACTTTAATTTCTTGAATGATTAATTTAATGTAAGTAATTTATAAAACCATTTAAAGTATACTTTAGAGGTACAGTTTTGGAGCCACTACCGTAATCTAAATTTAGAACATTTTCATCTACCTGAAAAGAAACCCTGTACCCATTAGCAAGCAGTCTTTCCCCATCTCTCCAGACATCCTCCCTCTTCTGCTGCCAGCCATAGGCAACTACTAGTTTCCTTTTTTCTCTTTAGATTTGTCTGTTTGGACATTCCATATAAATGGCATTATACATAGATCTTTATGACACACTTGTTTCACTTAGCATAATGTTTCTTGAGGTTCATCCATGTTGTAACAGGACTCCTGATGTGGTGCTGTAGGATAAGCAGTAGGCTGAGAACCACAAGGTTGGCAGTTCAAACCCACCAGCTGCTCCTTGGAAACCCTGTCACTATTGGTCAGAATAGACTCGACGGCACTTAACAACAAGAACAGCTCTATCTTTTGTGATTGCCTTTTCCAAATAAAAAGAAAATTCTCTCCACTCTTTCACTTCCTTCTTTATAACCAGCACTTTACTTGAATATTATGAATTAAAACATTGGCTCACTCAGCTATTCAGTTTTTTCTTTTAAAATTTTGACTTATCTCTCTGTAAACGGAACCAAAACAGGGGACTTCCCATGTTAAAAAAACTAAGAAAGAAAAACTGTAGAGAAAGATATTTCTAAGGTACGATAGTGATTCTAACAATTGACCCATTATAGAATTTTTTAAAATGTTTTTCACTGGCCTCAGGAATTTAATATTCTCTATAACTTTGACTCCTAGAAATGTGCCTTGGGTTTGACTTCCTAAAGAAATTTTCCTCATCAGCTAAGAAAAATCCTTGCCATTATTTGACTTAATTTCAAATTTGTAATGGCATATAGGGTTTCAAGGGTATCACTATTTCCACAGCATTTCAGAATGTAAGAAAAGCATGTAAGAATGACACTGCTGGCTTTTCCCTTATTTGTTGGGAGGACCAGAATTTCTCAGGTATTGAGGTCTTAGATCTTACAACTGGTCATGAAAGAGACGCGCTGTTTGAATGTCCATTCATATACTTAAGATGTCTTCTGTACTGGGGACTGCCAGTCAGTGGAGGAAGGTTTTAAAACTGCATTTCTAACAAAAATATTTTTTATTTAATTCCTTTAGAATTTTTTTTTGTTTGCTTTTGATGTGGGAAGATTATTCTATAATTTTTTTCCTCTTCTAAAATTGTTAACTTTATGTCTTTTTCAATTAGATTGCTTATGGGAGATGAACGTGTAAAGAATGGCCTTAATTTCATGTATGAGGCCCCACCAGGAGCTAAAAAAGGTACTTAATGTCATTTTCTTCCTTTTTTTTTAAAGTGTTTTTGATGTGTGTATAACTAAAGTAGAACTGGACTGCTAAACATAAAGTTGGTGGTTCAAATCCACCAGCTGTTCCTTGTGAACCCTATACAGTGTGGCTATGAGTCGTAATTGACTCAATGATGTATAACAACAACAATATGACAGATATTTAAAGGAAGATGTGCATCGTCTTTTTTTAAATCTATTTTTGGTAAATGATCTCTTTCATTCTTTTTGTCTTTTTATTCCAATTTGGGTAGAAATGTACAAAGCAAATTGATTTTCCATTAAACAATGCATGCTCGTTTTGTGACGCAGATTGCAGTCTTCACTGTAACAGCACTTTCCCCACGTACTCCATGTGAGTGCTTCCTTCCCATCCGCTCCTGTTTTCCCAGTTTATCCATGGGCGGATGGCGATTGTCCTGAGGCGTGTGGATCTCCCTAGTATTAGTGTTAACTTTAATGGATTTCTATTGTTTGGCTGAAAGTTGAGCCACTGGGGTGAGTTCAATTCCAGGCTTGAAGGGTATATAAGGACTATAGTCTCAGGGGTCACATCATCTGTTAAAAGTGCTATTACTGTGTATAATACTATAATGTTGTTGTTAAGTGCCTTTGAGTCAGTTACAACTCATAGCAACCCTGTGTAGGGTTTCCGAGGAGTGGCTGGTGATTTTGAATTGCCAACCTTGTGGTTAAAACTGACCTTGCAGTTGAGTGTTTGTCCTACAGTGCCACACCAGGACTCCAGTACTTTAATACTATTATAATATAGTGTTGGGCTCTACTCAGCGACACTTACCAACATGTTATTAATAAGTTAATAAATAACATGTTGTTGGTAAGTGCCATCAAGTCTTTTCTGATTTTTAGTGACCCTGTGTAGGGTTTCCAAGGCTGTGAATCTTTGCAGGAGCAGAAAGCCTCATCTTTCTTCCTCAGAGGAGCTGGTGGATTCAAACTATGGACCCTGTAGTTCGCAGTCCAGGTCTTATCCTACAAAGCCACCATGCTCCCAGATATATAATGTTATTGTCATTGTAGTTAAGTGCCGTCAAGTCAGTTCCGACTCATCACGACCCTTTATAGGGTTTTGAAGAGCAGCTGGTAGGTTTGAACTGTCGACCTTGTGGTTCACAGTCCAGTGCTGATCTATGGCACCATACCAGAAGTCCAAATACTGTAATTGTTGTTGTTGTTGTTAAATGCCGTTGAGTTAGTTCTGACCCATAGTCACCCTGCGTAGGCTCAAGGAGCAGCTGATGAGCTTGAACCGCTGACCTTGTGGTTCAAACTGACTTTGCAGTCCAGGGCATTAACTCACAGCGTCACACCAGGACTCCAAATACTATAATGTAGTGGTGGTGGTGTGCCGTGGAGTCGGTTCCGACTCATAGCGACCCTGCATAGGATTTTCTAGGTTGTAAATCTTTATGGGAGCGGAAAGCCTCATCTTTCTGTGGCAGAACAGCGGTAGTTTCGCACTGCTGACCATGGGTTAGTAGCCTGACTTGTAACCACTACGCTACCAGAGCTCCTAAATACTGTAATTGTTGTTGTTATGTGCCGTGGAGTTGGTTCCGACTCATAGCGACCCTGTTACAGGGTTTCCGAGGCTGTAAATCTTTACGGGAACAGAAAGCCTCATCTTTCTGCCACGGAACAGCTGGTAGTAAATACTGTAATAGTATGTATTTAATAGAGACCAAGTCCTGGTTTGGCCCTGAGTTAATGCGCCAGACTGCAAAGCCGTTTGAACTGCTGCAAGTTCAGCAGTTCAAGCTCACTAAGCTGCTCCTCGGAAACCCTATACAGGGGTCGCTATGGGTAGGAAATGACTCGATGGCACTTAACAACAACAAGTAAAATCCTAAAAATATTAGTATAATCAAGTAATATTTCATGATTTGTGCTCTGGGAAGAAAAAATTAGCAGAAGTGTCCCTATTCTTTGATACTTTGTATATATGTATATCTTTAGTTCGTCTAATTAAATGTGACTGATAAATCCATTCCCTTTGCCATTGAGTGGACTCTGACTCCTGGTGGCCCTGTAGGGCAGGATAGAAATGCCCTATAGCTATTTAAGGCTGAAAGTGTATACAAAATCAGACTGCCCGATCTTTTTTCCACAAAGCAGCTGGTGAGTTTGAATTAAAGTTTGAAAATTAGGAATTAGCATGCTTATTAAATGCTGTCTCTTATTTAATAATGATTTTATTCTTCAGTGGTCTTGTGAAAATAATAAAGCAAATGTTGTTAGAAATTTCAATTAAATACCATGATATCATAGTATAGTGTGTATGTAGTAGACTAATATGGAAATTTTTAACTTGTCATGTCTTTTTTTCCTATATTTTTGATATGCAATCAAGAAAATAAAGAGGTAAAGCTCTACTTTTTATGTTTCAATTTACTTGTATTTGATTGCAATTTTATGGAAAAATTGAAAGAATTTTCTATTAATGTTTTTAGAAAGAAGAAATAGAAGGAGAGACTGAATACAAATTTGAATGGCAGAAAGGAGCCCCACGAGAAAAGTAAGAACTGGTTGTTTTTTTAAAAAAGACAAAACATATATATAATAAAAGTTTCTCATAATACTTTTTTATTCACTAGAGAAGACAACTAATATTTAAAAAATATTTTAATGACCCTCCTATACAACTAATTTACTTGATCATAATCTTTTATTGTTTTCATATTTTTAAATCATAGTTTATCACACTTGTTCCTGTTGTTGTTAAGTGCTGTTGAGTCGGTTCTGACCCATAGCGACCCTCATGGGGTTTCCAAGTAGCGACTGGTGAGCTTGAACCACTGACCTTGGCAGTTCAAACGGCTTTGCAGTCTGGCGCATTTACCCACAGTGCCACACCAGGCCTCCAAAGCAACATCCCTGGACACCCGTAATAATTAAGTAGCTTTTGGAAATAATGAATAGATTTTATTTTTATACCTACTGAAGTAATGTATTTTATAATATTCTTAGAAAGAATTATAAAACTGTTTTTCAGATTAACTGCTGTTTGTTCAATTTTTTTCCATAAATTGTACATTTTCTCTATGTAATAGGTATGCCAAAGATGACATGAACATCAGAGATCAGCCCTTTGGTATCCAGGCAAGTGATACGAAATTTTACCATATTTTACTCCATAAGAATAATTTTTATTTAATGAATATTTCTTTATATTGTACAAAAAGCATTTAAGCTGAAAGGAATGCTATATTTCCATTTATATCAAATAACAGAAGGAATATTGTTGTGTATAGGGTTTCCTAGGAGCAACTTGTGGGTTTGAACTGCCGACCTTGTGCTTCACAGTCCAGTGCTGATTCTACAGCGTCACACCAGGAGTCCAATAGAAGGAACAGGGAAAGAAAAATTAAATGTAGTAGACTAATAAAGAATAGGAATCAAATGTTCTTTGATGAAGGGTTATAAGTTAAATTGATCTCTGTAGTTTTCAAGGAACTTGGGGGAATTTCTCAAGGTCAAGAAAAGAATAAGGTGCTGTTAGTTTAGAATCAGGACAAACTTTCAGCAGAGGTCAAATTGTTGTTGTTAATGTAACACAGCCCTATTCATTCATTTACATCTGTTTTGGCTTTCCCTGTATCCATCCACTGCCTTGGAGTCAATTCCAACTTGGCAAACCTTTCGGACACAGTAGAACTGCTCCATGGGGTTTCCGAGACTGTAAATCTATACAGGTGCAAACAGCCTTGTCTTTATCCCATGGAGCCGATCGTGGGTTTGAACCGACAACTTTGAGGTTAACAGCTCAATGCTTAACCACTGAGCCATCAGGGATCCTGCTCTCCCACTACAACAGCGGTATTGAGTAGTTTATACAGAGACCGTTTGACCTGCAAAAAATTAAAAATGTTTGCCTGCTTCTGCTTTAGGAAATGAAAACTTTCAAGGTTAACTTACTAAATTAGAGAATTTAAGAATAAGTCATAACATGCTTTTGCCATATTTAATCTTTTTGTTGTTGTTATTGACATTGTTAGATGAGTATTGCCACCAAGTAAGTAAAAGGTAAGAAATAGGATTCTTCTTAGCTGTGAAGCAGAATTTGTAGTAAAAGATTTTAGTATCTGCATTAAATTACTAAATATAGTTAGGAGTTTCTTTCTTGGCAGTCTTTAAAAATGAGAGTAATTTAATTGAAACTCGACCTAGGAATTGAGAGTTAAACTCTTTTCATATTTTTAAATCACAAATCATCACACTGGATGCCCATAATAATAGGTAAGTGGCTTTTGGAAATAATGAATAGGTTTTATAGTTCTTTATGCCTGTTGAAGTAATAGATCTTATAATATTCTTAGAACTATGAAGCTATTTTTCAGTTTTATAGGAATAGAGAGTTAAATTGATTAGATACTTAGCATTTTTGTAACCAAAATCATGGTCACTGTTTTTCAGGTTCGAAATGTGAGATGCATTAAATGTCACAAATGGGGCCATGTCAATACAGATAGAGAATGTCCTTTGTTTGGTCTTTCTGGAATCAATGCAAGTTCAGTTCCTACTGATGGCTCAGGTAGGCACAAAACATGATTTGTTTATTTATTTTGGCATTTACATTGAAGATGAACAAGGAAAGATAAAATAACAGTTTTCTTTAATCTCTGGATTTTGTTTGTTTTTGACTAAGGCACATTTCCAAAATTTAATGATCATTTATTCTGAATTTGAAATGCTGTATAATAAAATTAAATTTACTTTTTCTAGCAAAGGGCCCTATTAATTTTAGAGGAAAGAATATGTTGCTGTATACTGACAACTTGATTCTAGCTCATAGTAATCCTATGAAGAGTAAAGCCCTATAGGATTTTTTTCTAGACTGGAATCTTTACAGGAAACTTTGTGGCTCTGTAGGATAAGCACTGGACTACTAACACAAGAGTGGCAGTTCAAGCCCACCAACTGGAGAATGATGAGGCTTTTTGCTCCTGCAAAGATTTATAAGCCTCTGAAACCCTATACTTCACAATAACAACAACAACAATCTTTACAGGAGCAGATCTCTTAAGTGTTTTCTCCCACAGAGCTTCTAGTGGGATGGAACCACCAATCTTTTGATTAGCAGCCTAATACACTCATGGCACTAACTGGGCTCCTCATAAGATATATAAAATGTTGTTGTTGTTAAGTGCCACCAAGTTGGTTCCAACTCATAGCAACCCTGTGTAGGGTTTCTGAGGCTTTGTAAATCTTTACAGGAACAGAATGCCTCATCTTTCTTCCACAAAGCAGCTGGTGGGCTCAAACCACTGACCTGATGGTTCACAGGTCTGTGCTTATCCTACTGATGAGATTGTTGTTGCTGTTGCTGAGTGCCGTTGAGTTGGTTCCAACTCATAACAAACCTGTATAGCGTTTCTGAGGATCAGCTGGTGGGTTTAAACTACTGACCTTTCAGTCCAGTGCTTATGGTACAGCACCAAACCAGGACTCAGACAATTAACCTAAAAATAGGGAGGAAATGGATATTTCTCATATTCATATCTTTCCTGTATTGTAAAATGTCAGTCATACAATGACTATAGTTAAAATGTCCTTGTAGAATGAAATTAATATTTAAATCTGTACGATTTTTAGCATTTCTACCCTTTATGGTGAAAGAATGTAAAAATTCTTGCAATTGATGTTTCACGGCCTTCATATCATCCAGTAAGTTTTCTTTTTTGCAGTCTGTGTTCCAAGCTCAGGCACTTAGGGATTCTACCCCTAGTTTACCATCAAATCAGAAAGGTGAAACTAACATACCAGATAAGAAACAAGTAGAGAATAATAACTTTCAATTTATAATCTATCAGAGAGACAAAACCAGCATATTATATAAGAATTTCATAGAGACTAACAGGACACTAAATCATGAAGTTAAAAGAGGAGATAGGATGAAAGTAACCTTTAAAGAATTATTAGATTTAGATGAATGGAAAGAAACATTGACCAAAAACGAAGAAAGAACAAGCAAAGTAAATATGATATGTGGGATAAACCTGGAATGACACATTTATCTTGGACAATTAAGTGGTGTCAAATTGATCAGGACTTATAGCAACCATATAGGAACCATTTTTACAGTTGCTGCTGTGTTTGAGGCCATTATAGAAGCCACTATGTCAGTCCATTACATTAAGGGTCTTCCTCTTTTTCATTGTCAAGTCAGTTCCAACTCATAGCGACCCTGTATAGGGTTACTAAGGATCAGCTGTTGGTGTGAACTGCTGATCATACAGATTCAACAGCACCACACCAGGTCAACTTGAAATGGGTGGAATCAGATTTTGAATGGCTCTAAGAATGCAGGGTTTTTGAGTTTGGAATATTGGTGCTGTAGCCATTGTTTCCTAAACTACTTTAATGTGAAAGATCACTTAAGTTTTCATTTAAAATGTGGATTCCATGACTCTGTAAAAATAAAAGGATCATAACAGAATATTATGAATAATTGTACAACAATAAATTATATGGCTTAGGTGAAATGAATAAATTCCTAGAAACACATAAACTTCCTATATTAACTCAAGAAGAAGTAGAAAATCTCAGCTAACCCATAACAAGTAAAGATACTGAGTCTGTAATCAAAAGTCTCCCCAAGACCCTACCCAGAGAGGCAGTGATGCCAGGGATGGACACAGAGTTGATGACGTGGCCAGATGGAGCAGTTGGGGACACTGGACTAAGGGAGGGAGAAGGGCTATGTGCTGGTGGCCGGGGGCGGCGGGCCTGTGTGGTGTACCCTCTGGTTATTGGATGATACATGGAGGGGATTGTAATCATTGCAATGAAATGAAATACGATAGAATGAGTGTAAAGCTGATGTTCTCCCATGTAAACCTCACAATAAAAACTTAAAAAAAAAATCTCCCCAAAAAGAAAAGTCTGGGACTAGATGGCTTCACTGAAGAATTCTACCAAACATTTATTGAAGAAATTATCCTAATTCTTCTTTAACTTTTCAAAATATAAGAGAGAACACTTAACTAATTCATTGTAGGAGGCTAGGATTACTCTGATACCAAAGCTAGACAGACAGATACCACAAAAAAACTACAGACTCATAACTCTTATAAAAAGAGATGTAAAAATCCTCAAAATATTTTCAGATCAACTCCAAAAATGTACTAAAAACTTGGTATAAATCAAGTGAGATTTATACCAGGAATGCAAGTGTAGTTCAACATTAGAAAAATCTACCACATTAATAGAACAAAGAAACATAATCACATGATCGTCTCATTTGACCCAGAAGGTATTTGATAAAATCAAATATCCTTTCATGATAAAAAATTACACTCCGCAAGCTAGGAATAGAACAAGGCATACAGATACTTCTTAGTTACAGATAACTTAGACATAACCAAACACTTCAGAGGGTTGGTTTTCTAGGTTTGAAGGCTAAGGATCATAGTTTCATGGTACACTTCAGTCTATCGCAATACTATAGCTCATAAAAGCTTATTTTCATCCAGGAGTACTGGTATGGCACTGTAGGATAAGCACAGGACTGTAAGGTCAGTTTGAGTCATATGGTCAGTGGTTCATACTCACCAGCCGCTCCTTGAAAAGCCTATACAGTTGGAACCAACTTGATGGCACTTAACAACAAATGTCCATCCTATTTTGATAAGTAGTGTCTGGTGTCAAGGTCCTATGTCGGGTTCCAGCCTCGACAAGGAAGTGTGGGTGTCACAAAGAAGGGAGATCTGGCGGTGAAAAGGATAGAGAAAGAGAGAGACGAAATATATACAAAAAAGACAGACACACAGATATGATGCAAGCTGGCAGGTAGGCAGATCTGCAAACATATTACCTAGCATTGCAGCAGAACTCACTCTACCTCAGTCTTTTATTCTCTTTTTTAGGGAGGGATTTGTTATAAAGGAAGGATGTAATTCACAAAGGGAGGATGTGATTCTTTAGATAAGACAGGATACAGAACTGAAATGTGATTAGTCATTCTCAAAGCAGGACATAATGATTCACAGGAACAACTTTTAAGATATTTTCATAGTTTTTCTTAACAATCTAACATTTTTATTTTTACAGAAAAAAGGTTCAATCAAGCTGTTATATATTAACTTTTAGGCTTAAATGATCTAGAGCAGTGACTTGCAGTTTCTCAAGGGTACTTAACATAAAGCAAGGTTCCTGAAAGGAGCCAAGCTGTCTCTGTACACTTTGCAAACTTTTGTTTGTGAGCAAGATCTCAGGCACTGGGCTTCATTTATCTATATCTGAAATGCTACATTGTTCTTAATTATCACATTCCTATATACTTTCAGGAGGAAGGAGAGCATCTGGGTTAAACTGATTATATTCAGAGGCAGTTTAATGGGGCAGCCACTATTATCCACTAATCCAACATTCCCAGAATTTACCATTCCACTTTATTTACAAACCTTGGGTAGTTTTTCTCTAAAAAATCTTTTCTCATATTCCCAATATACCTGTTCCTGGCCTCTCTGAATTATTTGAGGAAGCTTTTTACTGCCTTGGCTCTAAAAAGGGGTTTCAAATCCATTATTGTTCATGGAGATCAAACATAACTGAATAATCAAATAAGGAGCAGTTCTGACATTCATCCCAGGTGGCTATCGCTTGTTCCTCAAAAAGATTTGTACCCAGGACTCCACGCATTGCCAACACAGTGGAGGCATTAAGAGAGGCATTGTAAAAGAAACCATTTTCTCAGAAGCTACAATTACTGGAGTTAGAAGCATATTAGGACCAAAGAAAATTATACAGAGATAGCCAACCAGTGAGTTCGCAAAAACCAATGAACCCGGGATGTCAGGAGGTCACTTCCTTTGGCCCTCAGGGTCCATGGCTCGCTATCTTGAGGAGGACCTCGTCCATGTCACAGGGCCACTGATCAACCCAGGGTCTGTGTATGCTGACCCCAGCAGTCTGGATCTGAAAAACTTGCAAGTGACAAAACCAAAACAGCTATTGGTCTCTACTCATCTGGTGCAAAAGAGAAAGAAGGAAAGCAAAGACTCAGAAAAGAAATTAGTCTGCAGAACTAATAGTCTACATGAACCACAGCTTCATCTATCCTGACACCAGAACTAGATGGTTTTCAGCTACCACTACTGTGGTATAGTGAATTACTTGATATGGCTCTTCTAGTCATAATCTTTTCATACACATAGGAAGTATGAAACTCTGATGTGGGGACTAGTCAGTTTTGCCATTCCACTGACTTTAACATGAGCCTTCATGGAAGCGGAAAGGAGACTTGACCCTACCATTAAGAAATAAGACCAGGAGATTTCCAGGGCAAGATGGCAGAGTAGACAGATGTACTGAGCAGACCCTATACAACAAGCATGAGAGACCAACTGGAATATATATGGATAATGATCTGGAATCTTGAGCTGCACAGGATAAGACAGAAGTGGATTAAGTGTCAACTGAAAAAGGATGCTGAACAAGAGCAGTGAAAGAGAAGAAACTGGGTGGGGAGAGCAGCCTGGTCATCTTGAGCTCTTTCACACATCTCGTGATACAGTGACCTAGAGGCATAGG